GATTCAAAATCAGTCGGCCAAGTTTCTATTGAAACTTCCCTTAATCAATCCGCCGGCTATGAGCGAGTTTAAATATTGTAAAGACGACTCTTATAAAGAGCTTTACGAGTTTACCAACTAGCCATTGAAAATAAATTAGCTTCAAATCATTTACAAAACTTGTAAATGTCACGAACTGACACAAGTTGTTGGCTTTTCGCTCTACTTATATCCTAGGCATTATAAAAACTTCAAGAATGAATGCCCATAAGTAATCTGCTAAGTTGATTCATATCGTTAATACTTACAAAAATTTTATAATAACAGAAACGGCGTTAGTGAATTTTTAGAGTTGATTTAAAATATGTCTGTAAATGATAAGTAATATAGAGAAGGATGGTTGGGGTTATCAGTCAGAAATAAAAAGGCAAAAATAAATAATAATATTTATTTTAACATTTGCCGACGTTTCGAACTGAAGTTCAGACCTTCATCAGGATCAGAACCTTCATCTGTTCGAAGAGATAGTTCGAATAGAGTGACTCTATTATGTTAATGTTAAAATAAATATTATTATTTATTTTTGCCTTTTTATTTCTGACTGATAACCCGAACCATCCTTCTCTTCATTATTCACGACAGTAAACCATCAACCCACAATTATGATAAGTAATATAACCAGATACCGGATCTTCGTAAATATAAAATTTAAATGCAATATTGAAAATTAAATTCCTAAAACTATTTATTAAACTTTAGAAATGCAGAGTAGTATTTGACATTTTTAAGCATTCAAAAATGAGTGTTGGTGTTGTTTTTCTAGATCACTAAAAAAATATTTTTGGGAATTTCGTTTCATTCTTTTATTCTCTTTCAAGAAAAAAAAACCCATTAAATTCTGTATTAGAAATATTTTTTCTTTCATGTTCTACAATGAGTATATTTTTATCACACCCGATGATTATTTTTTCACAGGACGTATAGAAAACAACATTACCATCAAATGTCAACTCGAGATAATTCGATATCTAGATTTTAATTTTTGACAAAAGACTAGACCCTAATTTCAGCATTATTATTTTTTTTTTTAATTTAAATAATAAGGAAATTACTACAATGCATTTCAAATGATTGAAATGATTGAATAATTAGAGAGAATTCAAGTCAAAACAATAACAATAAATTTCTTTTTAACGAAATAGTTTATTCTAATTTAGGTAGTTTTTGAAGTGTAAACTTCTTTTGGCCTGTTTTAAACTTTTTTTGTGGAGAGTGAATTAGATTGAGCCGTTCGATATCCGCTGTGGTAAAACCAGTTAAAGTCGATTTATTGAAATGTTTTTGGAAATGAATTAAAATATCTCAGAAACTAAAAATCGGACCAGCATACTATAATCGGGGGAAATGTTCATCATTTCATCGTCTTTGTAATGAGGATTATTCAAAATTGTATCATAACGAAACGCGGTGTTAGAGAGGCGAAAAAAGAAAAAGTAGTGTCGAAAACAAGAATGGGTTTTATTGAAGATATGGATTTAAATATCTCAGAAACTAAAAATCGGATCTGCATACTGTAAGCGAGGGAAATGTTCAGCATTTCATGCTATATATAATGATCTATTAATTATTATTTATATCTCATATTATTAATCTCCTCTTGTTGATCGTGTGGCCTAAAGCATACACCTTAGTTTTTTATTTTTATCTATATTATTAATATATCTTTATAATTTATTTATTTTTTTACTATATTTATTAAAGAATTATGGATGTCCTTTACTGCTGAGCAGAAGATCCGAACATCATGCCCAGGTCTAATGGGGTCCTGATAGATTGATTTTTCCATCAACACGCAAGTCGGGGGCCTGTATGGCAGGAACTTTCGGGAACTTTTTAATCTGGAGATTGAAAGTGAGAGAGGAACTGAGATGGAATCCCCCAAAGTGCTAATATTGAACATACTTTGGAGGTGTCGGGCCAAAGTGTGTCAGGATCGCGAGGGGCCTGTCTGTGATTGACGTCGAGTGGATGACCCTATATAACATATAGACCGCCCTCATATCACAACCTCTAACCTTCATATAACTATAATTTGATTAATTAATCATCACTACAATGTAAATTAATTAAATAAAAATCGAGGTAAGACATTAATGAAGAAAATCAAATAAGCATTTATATCTCTGTTCTTGTCAAATAACTTAAACAAAAAATTAAAACCATGACAACTGTATATTAATGAGGCTAATCCTATAAAAAGCAAACGTTTTATTTTTTTTCTATATTAAACTTAGTAATTTAAATGCTTGGTCATTTCATCATTAAATAATACAATTTTATTATTTTCAAGACAATTTTTAACCCTATCATAGATGTTGTCCTGTAAGATTATGGGGACCGCTAAATTTTATAATATCAAACACTTTCAATCCTTCCAGTACAAAGTCTTTCGAACAATAGTGAATAGCGTTTGTATGTAACCTATAAAATCCTACACCATTAGTCCAAGACCTTATCGCATACAAGTTCTCCAAAGAAGTGTTATTCACTAGCATACGCCCCGCCTTGTTTCAGCCATTCATACAATACTCATCGAAAGTTAGAACGGCAGTGATCCCGCGACTTTTTGTAAATTTGTATGTATTATAACTCCGGCAATCAACAGATTCTCCACTCAAAACATACATTAAGCGTTCTTGCTCATTCTCGTTTGGCTATTAGTATAAATGAAGCGGTTGAGAGAATGATGCACTGAATTGTTAGTCTTAATTTTTCCCCACATAGGGAGAGACAAGCGTGGTTCGGATTTCTCTTGTTTGACAAGCCATATTGACATTCCTCCACGCCACCACCATAGTAATCAAAACTTTACCATTTTCCGTTATAGTTTCATCATATTGCCCTTCTAATCGATCCATATCCAATATCCAGTTCAGTTCTCTCCTTGATTCCTTGGAACATCATGTCATCATGGGTGCAGACTTAAACCCCAAAAATCAAGAATGTGTATTGTAAAATCACAAATTCTATTTTATTATAAATAATATTTTATTTATACTTTAATGAAATCGTATATAGATTGATTCCGGTCAGATATAGCCATTGGTCTGTCTGTCTGTGCCAAGATTTTCTCAGGAACTACTGAACCAATTTTGTTGCTTCTTTTTTTATTTAGTAGGGTTTTGACTACTGATCCCTGTGACAGAAATTCGGTGCTCCATGGGAAATAGCTTGCTCGCAATAAATGAAAAACATGTTTTTCTAAAGACTGTAGCGCGAAAATGGCTCTAACGGTTTTGATGAAACATTCTTATAATGTTCAAATCATTGTCTACTCAATTTCAGAGTTTCAGAGCTCACTGAGAATTTTAATTCACTATATTTACTGAGTATTTATTAAGTATTGCAATCGGGTAAAATTTCCGACATGCGGTTTTCGACGGATCTATACCCTGATTCAAAGCCATATAAAAATCGTTCAATTTGGAAAACTATTAACGAAGTTACAGCTATTTAATTTTCGATGCAAGATTACGGGTTCATATCCTTGTGTCAGAAAAGGGTGAATGAGAGAATAAAGATGAATAAGTGAAAGTAAGAAAATCTGTTGCCTGCATCAGACAATCTTCACTATTTCCTCTACTTTTAACAGAAATTATTGTCTGACAATACTAAGCAATGGCAAAAAATTTTTGATCAGAAATATTAGTGAGTGTTGAAATTTTTACACTGATCTTCCTTAAGCCGGTTTACATTGCTTTAGTTTAATAAATAAATCGTAGTCAAATCTTTTGTTTGATCTATGTTCAGGAAAATAAATCTATTTCAATTCTTCTTTTTTTTTTTTTTAATGGTTTCAAAACTGGTGGATTAAAATAAATTCCAATAAATCCCATCTAATCACCTTTACCCTTCGCCGTAAATCTATGTCCTCTTGTTCTACAGTATCCTTTAATAATACACCACTTATCCCTGTTGAACAAATTCGATACCTTGGACTCCATTTAGACAAACGTCTAACCGGGACGCGAACTCGTACTTATTATATCATCTCAAATCTCTGTTATCCGGTTGCCAGGCAACTAGCGGTGCTGTTACACACGCTTTAGCCTATTCGGCCACCCCGCCCCCTAACTTGGAATACCAGTATATATACCAGACTGAAACGACAAGAAACAGCTCGACGTTTCCGACTACTGCAGCACTTACTAGACAAACGCTCTAAGCTCCCAGTCAATTACAAAAGACTCATATACATGACTACAATGAGACCTATTTGGACTTACGGAATTGAGCTCTGGGGCTCCACTAAGCCATCGAATTCCTCTCGTATCCAATCCTTACAATCCAAAATCCTTCGTAAAATCCTCACAGCTCCTTACTTCGTCACAAACAAAATCATCCATAACGACCTTAATGTTCCGTATGTTTCTGACCTGGCCCAATCCAGATACCTTTCCTTCCATAACAAACTTCACAACCATCCTAACCCTCTCGTTTCTAACCTTGCTTCCTTTCCGATCCCGGACAACCCTCCGAGGCGTCTGAAAAGAAGATGGCCTCGAGATCTCCTTTTGTAAATAAATTTTTAGAGTGCTACCAGTGGGTAGTTTCTCAACAAATGATTTCATGCTTTTATATTCTTTTGTTCACATTTACTAAATGTATTTTTACTTGTAATACAGTTGTAAATATCATCAATAAAAAAATAAATAAATAAAAAATCTTTTTTGTTTCTTCATGGACATATGTAAAGATATAAAAACTTTTCTGAAATAGGTAGGAAAGTCGTGTGATTGGACACACCAGATATTTGTTATTCTAAAGGGACCTATACTAGAATAAAATTATTTTCATTTCTATTCTATTCTATTCTATAGATGGATATAACTTGCATGAAGAAGGTAGTGATATTTTTTAAGAGAATTAATACGTTGGTAAGGTATATCACCGGCCACATTATTCCGCTGATATACCCACCCGCAGTTAACTATAAAGCGGTGAGATAAGACTCCTGACGGATGGACTGTTCTGGTTTCCAGATGAGAACCTGGATCGTGTGCTCCAGCATCTGCTTGATGGTGATGGCCTGCCAGGCGGATCCGCTTCCAGCGGACGCCATGGCCCGCCCCGCACGCCCCAAGTCCTTCGCCTCTCCCGATGACCTCAGGACCTACCTCAATCAGCTAGGACAGTACTACGCGGTCGCTGGTCGTCCAAGGTAAATTATCCTTCTTTTTGTAATTTTTATTTCAATATTCTGTTAGTTCAATAATCAAATAAACAAATAAAACTATTATATCTTTGCGAGTGTAATCTCTAATTAGTCCAGTAAATGAATGATTATAGAGGAAAATAGAAAGATACAAATTTTTGACTATGTGACTTTGTTCAGACTAGTAAGAACATTCACTAAGTCGCCACTCCAGGAGGTGTACCATGATTGGAGGGCATCTAGAAGTTTTGTACTTTTTTTTCAGTCTTTCACTCATATCAGAGAAACTATACTTCTTAGCGATAAAAACATTGTATGCAAAATTAAAGCTGATAAAATTTGCAATATTAATGGTCATATTTATTTGCTCGCATAGGTTCCAAGTAGTGTTGCCCAAAATAAGTCTTGGTCTTGTTGCACTTTGCCAGACCAAGGTCAAGGCCGCCTAACTGTTGCAAGACCAAGACCAGGACTGGTAAAAAAAAACGATTTTTTAAATAAAAATTAAGGTAAAATAGTTACTAATACCCAAATATCTTAGTTATTATATGTTAATGGCATTGATATAACCAATATGCTTTTGAATTTAATTCCTCTAATTTTTCATTCGGGCTTAGTTAGGTTTCTCCTATCTAAAAAAGTACAGCAATATCTTTATGGTAACAAGCTAATAAGTAACTCCACGACTCTTGTGCAAAACCAAGACCATGACCAAGAGTGAATTTGCGTCTCGGTCTCGCATTTGGGCAACACTAGTTCCAAGATATTCGTGCTCAATATTCGTTAACTATGAAACCAAGTTTATATATCATATTTTTTACCAACTCTCCATCTCTTCATTCTACTAGAAATTCATGGAGAAGAAATATGTTATGTATTACATTTTCTTCAAAATTTTAAGGTCGCTGATCAAAACTACGAATTTTGTTATAAAAATTAGTGAATATTGAGCACTAATATCTAGAAAAAAACGAGTTAGGTAATAATTCTATTCACATTATGGGAATTTTCTTGCATATCTACTTAAACACATATCTCTTTTCCCACTTATCACGCCTGCTAGAAAGTATATTTCATCCAATGTCGATATAAAATATCCTATGTACTTACTGCATGTAGACAACCGAAATTCTTTTAGATCGAGTGCGGAATGCACCCAACAACTACACCAATTCTAAGTATTCGTAAAAGTCAATTTCCACAACAATCTGTTTAGCAGTTTAAGTAAATATGTAAGTACATTAGCTTACGGTGTATAGGGTTATTCCATAGTCAGGTTTTTTAAATTAATATTTTTTTTTTAATATGTTGAAGAATCAGTTTATTTAATATGAAATTAGTTTTTCTTTTAACTTCTTTAGGCGCGGTGTGTACTTTTTTTTGTGGACAGTGAGTTAGATTGAGCCGTCAGATCTCTGGTGTCTAACGGTAGGGTAAAGTCGGCTGGGGTCGACTAATTGAAGTATTTTTTTTCCTTGGATTAAAATATCTCAAAAGCTATAAATCGGACCTGCACACTGTGAGCGATGGAAATGTGAACCATTTTATCCACTATTATTCAAAATTGTATCTTAACGGGATGCCCTGTTAGAGAGGCAATAAGGAAAAAATAATGTCGAAAATCAAGTGATAACTTCTTTTAAGGGATATTTGGATTAAAATATCTCAGAAACTAAAAATCAGACCTGCATGCTGTAAGCGAGAGAAATGTTTCATCCCCCCTTAATGAGCTATTATTTATAATTTATATTTCATATTATTAATCTCGTCTTGTTGATGTTTTCACTTCACTTTACTTTACTTTTCACTATCGTCTATGGCCTATGGTCTACAACACATAACTTATTTTTTTAATTACTTGTAAACGTTAATTTTCCCAATAATCTGCTTAGCAGTTTCAGTAAATATGCATGTATATTCCTTTAGAATGGATAGGATTATTTCGTGGTCAGATATCTTAAGTTAAGTATTTTTTTTTAATATGTTGAAAGATCAGTAATTAGTTGTTGTTTTCATTCAAAAATATCCTTCTTTTCAGTTTTTAAAAGTTCAATAATAAGATTCAGCTAAATATAAATGTATACTAAGTCAGTATTGCACTGACGGAAACCTTTCAAAAATGTATTTTTATTACATTTATCATAAATTGTCTATCTTATCGTACCCAAGGGATTTCAGGGATGTCCTTTTTTGTTTATCTTTCAAATAGATTTTTAATTTATCATCATAGGCTACAGTAAATAGCGATATAGAGCTGAACTATTTCATAGAGGCCATTCATAGAGCTGAACTATTTCATCACAAAATTAAAAAAAATTAGGGCAGTACGTCATCTCGAAATATGATAATTTTAGGCTTTTGAAACGCAAGTCCGGTAAGTTCCAGAGAATACTGAATACTAATGGCTATGAAAATTCATCAGAGTTCGACAAACTAGTCGTACAAAGAGAGGTACTCAGCAGAGTAATTGTAGTTTAATTATATATATTCATAGGCTATGAGTTCAAAATCCCACAAAACGACACCAGCAATGTCTAATCAACAGTTAAGCCAAGGCACTAAAGCAGCTGGAATTCAGGCACTAAGTAATAAATTGTTTCTGAATGCCAGGGGGCCATTTATCTTTTAGAAATTATACAATATCTCTTGTTGCCGACCTAGATTGTATTAGTGCTGGCATCCATCATCCCCCGTTGGTATTCAGAACCATGATAGGAGTTTCACAGCGGTTAAGGTCAGTCTTACCTCCTGCGCCATTGTTTTTGTTATACAAAATCAAATTTCATTTTATAGAATTGTTGGAGAATATTGCCATAAATACGCTACAAATACTTCGATAGAATGAAGGTATCTTAAATAAGGAATAGTAACAGATGTACCCTGGAGGTACAGAACATTATGTCCATTTTTGTATTTATTCAGGGGAATCGATTCTCCATAACTTTGAGCAATTAAAATTTGTTCCTTAGTTACTAAATCGTTATCCCAGAGGTAAAAAGGACACCATGTCACATATTTGTCTTTTAATCCGTTGTACAGACCCTTTTTTATCAAATTATTAAAATCCGCCTAAAACCTCCTGTATAGCTTTATCTATCTTACCGTGACCTACAAGTTTTTAATCCATGAAACTTCTCAGGTTATTTAATCCAAACATATATCATTTACTCTTCGGAAAAAACACCTGCCCTCCAGTTTATATTGACAACAATCAAATTCATCAAACGGACACGGTACCTTGGACTCACCTTCGACAGAAGGATGACATGGAGTCTGCATGTTAAAATGAAACGTAAGACACTTAACAAAGGACTCTTTATTCTTTAAATCTTTATTTTTTTTTCCATTAACTTATTTATTGAAAAATATTACAATCTGTCTCAAAGGACATTTATAATAGTGTTCAGAGATCACATTCACACTCTATGTACAATAAATAAAATAATTTCTAAATCTTCAAAACTAAAACTAAAACAGAAACTGAATACATATACATACTTACTTAAGCCCATATGGACGTACTCATAACAAATATACGGCATCGCTGCAAAGACCCACCTACAAAAACTTCAAACGTTCCAATTAAAATTATTGTGACTCATAACAAAAGCACCTTGGTACGTGACTAACAAACCTCAACTTACTGACTTCCGACTTCCAATAGTTGAACAACATATAACGGCCCTTTATCAACGATTTTACACTCATTTTAACGGACATAATAACAGACTAATAACAGACATGGCCACAGCTAACATATCTCAGAACATGAGGAGGAGACTAAAAAGGCGTTGGATGAGAGATCTTCTCCCTTAAACAACCTAAGTTATTGGAACAGGTTAGGGAAGAGATACTGCTGAATTCTTTCCTTCCCCATGCCTGTCAGGTCATTATTTCATGTATCGCCATCACATTTGCTGATTGTCAACAATAAGTTGACTGGCGAAAATACATTTTTAAAGAAAAAACATATATATAAATCTGCAATTTAGTTATTTATTTACTGTATTTGTATTCCAAGAAAATGTAAATTTTTTTGTTCAGTAAGATTATTGAATCTTAGAAGTAAATGTTCCTGAATAAAATTAATTTTTTTTCTTCTCCCTCCAATGAATCGCAGATTTTTATAAAAAAATATTAAATTTTAATTTTGTCAGTAGTCATATCGGCCGAGAAGCATTTAATATGTTAATATTGCAGTTTGTTAATAAATTAAGGAAATATTATTTAGTGTCGTCATTCTCTCCAATTAAACAAACATGGGTTTTTTATTTTATTTTTTTAAACGTTATTATTTGTTGATTAAATAAATTGACTGAACAAAGTTATTTGAATCAGTTGAAAAAAAAAATAAACAAACGAATTAATGAGTAAATTGTGTAGATAAAAGGAAAACGAATGGATCGAGATTGGACCTAATGGACTTTATCGAAGTTCTATTGACTGTGTTAATTCGCCGTTGAAAAGATAATTGAAGAATCATTCTGCTCCTAAAACAGAAGGTGTATTAATTAGAGAGGGGGGAAACGTTTAATGGAAAAGGATTTAATTGAAAGCAATTTGGGCAAATTTAAGAGAAGATAAAATGTTCAATTCACTCAAGGTCCGTGCAATTTGTGAAGGGTTCATATACCCAAGGCCCCTCCATCATCGCTCCGCACGAGGGAGCACTTCTCTTGTAAGCTGCCTGTCCGAATTTGATACTCTTGTACAAGCTCCTCTTGTTCTTTCGTTAGCCTTTTCATTACAACTCTTTGTTTATTTACCTATTTCTTTAAAGTAATAATCAAAATATATTTCCTCTAATTAAATATCGCTACTGTATAAGAAGAATAACACATACATTTTCACATAATTATTATTAAATTTTAAAGAAATTAATACAAAAATACACAACATTCTTCTTATACGAAACCGAACCAAACTCTGGGAGGAAGGTAGGTGATTCTTGACAAATTTCCAACAAAAAACTTCATTTGAAGCTTGGGCCGATTCCGAACGGAAGAGGAG